TGTTTGAAAAGATATGTAATAATGCCAACTTATGGTTTTTCCTTCTGTTCCCAATTTGCTAGGATTGCTCAATCTCACTTTTCCAATGTCTGTACTTTTGCATGATATAATGCCCCAGTGTAGGTACGGGATTGCTGTGTTTGCCATTTTGTGGGCATTTGGTGTGATGTCACGTCTTAGTGCCTTTGCACTGTTTCCCTTCATCTGCCTTGTGAACTCTCGGCTTCTCCCCTGAAAACGCTTCACTTCCCATTCCCCTCCCATCAGGAAGAGCTGACCAAGTAGCTTTTTTTATGTCACCTCTGCACAGAGTGATCTCTCTGTGTTCCAGTAACTCGTTTGTTATAGGTCTGCTCCCTTCCTAGATCAAGAGGTTCTTGAGAGCAGAGACCTTGGACTTTGCATGGTGTCAGACACATAGTAGATGTGTCCAATCAGGGGGCTTGCCAAAGAGAAGGAACGAGGGAAGGAGAGAAGAAAATACCCTTCTAAGGAGCCCCTGAAGAATCTGAGCAGAAGGGACCTGAGACATAGGAGGAAAACAAGAGATAATAGTGTCATGGACGCCAAGGGAGCAGAGAATTTGAAGAGGGAAAGGCTGGTCATTAGTGCTAATTGCCAGTGAGAGCCAATGAGATAAGTACTGAAAATATCCATTGTATTGTCAGGAACTGAGAAAAGATTTCCTCAGCCATGGTCACACCCTAGGTAATACTGCAGGTGTGTTAACGACACCAAGCAAAGATGTGTTGGCAGTAAGTGGTGGCAGGTGACCTCTCAGAGGGATGCATCAGTGGAGTTCCTTGGCTTGGTGATATCCTTCATTATGACGTTCTATACGATGATTTTTTTTTTTTTTTCCTGGTGGCAAACCCACTGAATAATTGGTCCTCTCAGTTTACAAACTGAATGAAGAGTTCAAAACTCAGAAATGTTTGCAGGATATACAGTACAGCAGAGTCAGATTGAGATTTGGAAGCTAATTGGTTGAATCTTAACGGGCCTAAAATCTTGGTGGATCATTTCTCGAAAGGTGATAATGAGCAAGGTGGTTACAGCTGTAAAACTGTACAGTTCTCAACTTGCAGCCTTCTCAAAAAATCCAGATAATTTAGTAGTGCTATTTAAAAGCTATCAAAATTCACAAGGAAAATTATAGCTGCACATGAGGAAATAAATGTCTTTCTATGGAATATTTGAACATTCTAAGAGCAAGAAGACAGTGTCTTATTAGCAGGAGGAATAAAATGTTCATGAGATGGTAACAGCATTTAATAAAAAATACACAAGTTCTTAACAGAATAGAGTCACAGATGTAGAAAGTAAACTTATGGTTACCAAGGGGGAAAGCAGGGGAGGGATAAATTGGGAGACTGGGAGTGATACACACTACTATATGTAGAATAGATAACGAATTAGGAGCTACTGCGTAGCACAGGGAGCTCTACTCAATACTCAGTAATGGCCTGTATGGGAGAAGAATCTAAAAAAGACTGGATACATGTATATGTGTAACTGATTCACTTTGCTGTACACCTGAAACGAACACAACATTGTAAGTCAACTATACTCCAATAAAAATTAATTAAAAAAACAAAGAAAGCTCTAAGGCTTTTGGTGCCACACAGATTAAATTTAATCCATTTTGGTCAAAAAAAACCAAACAAACCCAAAACACAAGTTCTTGAAGAATAAGAAATTAAAATAATTCAAAAGAGATTAATATATTGGATTTTTAGGAGAATGGAAACTTTTAAAACGTAATGGTTATTAAATGTATAGGAATAGAAAAGGTCCAGTTATAAATCTTAAATTACTTAACTATGCTGTAAGTTTTAAGATTTCTTTTAGCTCAGAGCCTAATATATCATCATGCCTTTGACCACTTTTGCTGGTAGTATGAAGGAGGGAGGAGTGGACTTAACATCACAGTTTGTGAATATTCTCGTTTAGCCCAAACCAAGCTCAATTATTTGTGGCTGATTATCACTCATGTTGTCAGCCAATTTAAATATTTTGAAAAGAAAGTTTACTTTTTTTATGTTCACAAATTTAATACTATTTTAAAATAAAATTGTCCTTTTTTCCATCACCCTAAAATTTGAATAATAGCAAATTCAAGCTGTTCTCACTTTTCTCTTTGAGAAAATATAGTAAATGAGCTAGATTCATATCTGTTTATATTCCCAATGAGTGGAGAATAGTTGGGCAGGAGAGGAATTAAATTGCGCATATCAGGAACCCTGAGCCCTCTCTTACATCGTTTTATTTTTAGAGGATCAGGAGATTAGGGGCACCTTCACAAGCAGGGTAGGATTTTTTCCCCCTAATTATGATTTAAATCTCAGGAAAATGGAATACGTTTATCTAAAATGCATTTTAATATGCAGAGTCTCAACATGAATACTTTATTTTTAAAGCATAAATTGGAATTCTCCTTCTCTTTTCTCATACTTTCATTCCATGGATCTTAAAGATGTCCTGACGGCTGGGTTACACGGGGAAGGCCCAGTTAGATCAGCCAGACCATTCCTCCCTCCCTCAGTGATGCAATGGAAATCTGCCTAAAACCAAGAATTGTGCTAGGAAAATAGAGGAAGACTTTAGAGTTCTTTCAGATTTCATATATACATTTAATAATGCAACATGGTGTTCTTTTGTTTTGAGTATGGCGTAGTTTTTTGTTTTTGTTTTCAGTGTGGTGTAGTTTAAAGCATGGCCTTGGGCATAAGCGTTGGGAGTCAGGTCAAAGCTGTGTTCAGATCTCTCCCGCAGTTCCCCGGGCGTTTGGCAGTCTCAGCGTGCTCATCTGTAGAACAGGGGGATTAGGAAGAATCTATGAGATGATGCATGTCCAAAGCTTAGCACAGAACCTGGCTGGTATTAAGCATGCAATAAACCACAGCTATTATTACAGTGCCTTCCAGATGCATACACTCTTAACCCTGTGTTTGCAGCCAGCCTCTCCAAGGTGCATCCGTACCTGTTCCACACTCTGTGTGATAATAACACCTTTCCTCTAAGACTCCATTTCATCTCATACACACTCTTATTTAGCCCCGTGAGGATACTATGAATTGGGAAAGAAAGTCACCAAATAGCTCGACTTTCAGCTTGTCTTTTGGTAGGTTTCTCCCTGTTAGCATCCAGTATTTTGTACCCTAGGGCTCTACCCTGACACCCGTTCACGAGATTTACATTATGGAAATGTTTTCTTTCTCCTATTAAATCGGTATCTCAAACGTCAAGTAATGCTTTACTTTTTATTTCTTTACTAGAAAAAAAAATGTATTTTCGTTAAGCTAAGGGAGATTGAAGAAGTCTCATGGGCTTTTCAAAATAGTTTTGTACAAGCCACTCATTGTTTTGAAGTTCGTGATACGTTCCAACTTGACAAAATAGTTTTAAGTCCTGCAAGGGAAATGGTGTAGATGTTTCTCAGAATTAGTAAAATAATTTAATAATCTAATATGTAAATAGTTTGCTGGATTATAATGATAATTTATGGGTTATAATGCAACCCTAATCTGGACACACTTGTTAAAAAAATACTTTTCTCTTCAGAAAGTCTGTTGTAGTTTGAAGACCTATTTGCTAAAAGGAGCAAAGAGAATGAAACTTATACTTGTGTTGAAGCGTATCCTCAGTTAGGTGAAAAGACCCAGCTCCTAAATTCTACCAAGTAATACAACCTACTTGGCCGCCAGGAAACCTAAGTAAACAGTGATTTCTGAAACAACCCCTAAATCCTTTATAATGGTATGTATCTACTGCTTCCAGGCGCTGGGAAGAGAAAAGGCAGATTTTATCTTCTTTATCTTCTGACTCACTGCAACCAGACAGAACATAAGAGGGGTGTGTGTGTGTGTGTGTGTGTGTGTGTGAGACAGAGAGAGACAGAGGAGGGGGTGGGGGAGAGGAGACCCAGCCCTGGGACATGAGGGGATAAATGATTGAGTTATGATTTCTGCAGTCAATGAAAGAAAAAAAGGGCAGAACATTTTCACATAAATAGAGCAAGGGGGAAGGGAGCAAAGGACACAAAATGCAAACTCCGGAAGAGAAAGAAAGAAAGTATGGGACAGGTCAAGCAGGAATCTAGTCAATGCTGCTTTTTCTCAGACCACCAAACCAGTTGACCACGTTAGTTTCAAGGTGTTAGTTTCAAGTTGCAAGGCAGAATCCCCGCAAAGGTCACAGAGTTTCCTTTCCATTTGCTGAGTGGAGGCTGCCATCACTGATAGGTCACAGCTCATTTGCTAGACCTCTGACTTCGCCGCCAGACAGCTGACCTTTTCAAGAAGCCGTTTGCCAGGTAGAGCGCAGGATGGAAGGGGTGGGTAGGAAGCGGCGCAGGGTTCCCGGCACTGCTGCTCGGTACACGCCCACCACGGGTTCATTCCTCATCTCCCCAGCCATCTCTCATCTCCTTCGTCCAGCCAACTTCCAGTCGGCTGCCTGCCAGATAAGGAATTTAATAAAGACAGATGTTTGTTCTGCGTGTGTAGTTTGAAACAGAAAGGTAGGAGGAAATATAAAATGTTTCCCAAAAGCTTGTAAAAAATCTTGAATAGTTTGGGAAGTAATAATAATTAGGCTTGCGATTTGCATAGGTATTCATTCTTAAGAGCAAGTTGTGTTTGCTCTATGGCATCGCACTAATAAAACAGAAATTTCACACAGTAACCATCACTTTTATTACCCGTGTGCCACATCTGTTCAACTTCCTCAGTCTTCTGAACCTAATGATATTTTGGATCTCTCCTCCCTGGTGCTATTAGCTGTGGATGGGAGGGGCTCCTTCGTAATTCTACACCTGTTCAAGTCCACGCCCATCAACTCGCTAAGCTTCCCAGACAAGTGCGTGGTGAAGCATGAGAACATCTGAATCTGGGGTGGAGACGCAGATGGCTGAGGCTGGGCTTGGCTTTTCAGATTTTGTTAAGAAAATCTAATGTATTTCCTACCATGGCAGTTGATGATGGCAATTTATATTCCAGGACGAAGAACAAACTAAATTCATCTCAAAATGATTGTAAATCATCAAGACGGAGTAGCCTGCCACCTGAACTACTCATAGGAAATGACATTAAAGGAAGACTTCAAAGAAACATTAAAAACTTGGAACCCATTCACCTGAGGCGCCCGAAAAAGAGACCATCCATATTTCCAGGTAGGATTTGTTTCTGTTGATGCCTGCCAGTTAAAAAAAACAAACCAAAAGCAACAAGGACTGTATTTCGTTTGTAATGATCAGATGTGTTACATTTAAAATGAACTTGGGACATGTTTGAAAGCTTGAGGCAGCTCAAGCTAAACATGTTTGAGTATAAAATATAGAATGATTCTTTCATCTGAAAGCACCCCCATCTTTTTTCTTTTCTTCTCTTTCTTTATTTTCATATCTTTAAGGGTCTGTAAATAGGCGGCTGTTTTATTATCAGGCATCAAGATCAGGGAACCTCTTTGCTTGCAATCCTGGAGAATTCCATGCTGCATTTCATTCCCTGGTGTGTTTTCTTTATTTTGCAAGATTATGGCATTGTTGAGTGAAGCTCATATTTGTGTGCCCCAGAAATTAACACCATTAAATACTCGAATGCATGCTTCAAATTCCTGTCTTGCATCAGAGCCTGAAACATTTGTAGTAAAGGGCTCAATTAAACAATGTGGATGGTGAAATGTATTGCAGCACAGAAGACTCAGGGATTTCAATCTTGATAAAGAGACTCTGATGGCAGCTTTAGATGTCCATGCCTGGTATTAGAGGTGTGTAGCTTGTAGAAGACGCCTGTGATTGTGAACTCTCACTGAGGTGTCACACTGGTGGGTGTGTGGTCACTGGAGAGGATGAATTATTTAGTCAACTTATTTCACTACTGTTTGCATTGGAATCTCCTGGAGAAACTGAAAGTGGCCTTTTTGTTTGTGATTGATTGATTGGAGTCTTTAAGGAGGATAGATTAGACACAACTGCTGAGGGCTAACTCTGTGATGATAGAAAATAAACAAGAAAAATTCATTCAAGCTTTACTTCATCATGAAAATGAAATGAACCCCCCTAACAGTTGAGTCTTTTTTAAAAATATTTATCTATTTATTTGGTTGTACGGGGTCTTAGTTGTGGCAGCTGGCTCCTTAGTTGCAGCTTGCCAGCTTCTTAGTTGCGGCATGAGAACTCTTAGTTGCGGCATGCACGTGGGATCTAGTTCCCTGACCAGGGATCGAACCTGGGCCCCCTGCATTGGGAGCACAGAGTCTTATCCACTGCGCCACCAGGGAAGTCCCACAGCTGAGTCTTTATATTGAGGTGGGAGCTCAATGGATTCTCGTCTGGACTGTGTCCCTAAATGGTCTCCAAGCCACCTCACCGACCCCTGTGGCCTTCAGGTACATTACTTCTGCTATTTCTGCTGCCATTTCCCTTCTTGGGGACAGCAACAGGAGATGGACTCTTAACATCCTCCCTATCTGCTAGGGTCTCCAGTTGACAAGGTAGAGAGTTGTCTGCCCAAAGTTTGAACAATAGTGGCGGCTTTTTTTTTCTAAATTCCCTTTCACATGAACCACAACTTCATTGTCATGTAGGTCTCACTAACTTTTTTTTACAGTGGTTGACTTAGAAATGCCACCAGGCTGCAAATCCCACCACAGCTCCTAAACATCAGCTGAAAACAGCAATGTACATAGGTTGTGATAACCATTCCTGTGTTATATGCTGTGTGGTTACACATCAAGGGTGGATATAACGTGGGACCTGAGCGTCAGAGAAATTAAAACGCAACTCAAAATTGATAACTGGCAAAACTACGGGTCAGACATGGGTCTTTTAACTCCAGTGTTGAAGCTGTTTCCCTCTGTTACCCTGTGCTGCGTTGTCAACTGTTGTTCTCATTTGTCTGATGAGATGCAAGATTGAAGACATGTCAGCGTTCCGATGTGCATTCACTCTGACCCTTACATACACACAGTCAACTTTATCCTCTCCCTCAAGTCTCCTGTTTTCAGTCCTGCACTGAATGATTGAATGATGGGTTGATCAGCTCATTCATTCACTCATGAAATATTCATTTCGTTCTTGCGCTGGTCTAGGGTGGACCTTGAAGAACCGAGCTACATGTTACTCTTGTGTTCTTATCTCCCGTTTCTCCTCTAAGGGCCGTCTCACACTGCAGACAGTTATCTACCCAAAATGCAAATATGTTTGGGTCACTCCCTTACCATTCTTCAGTGGCTACCCTCGCTCTTCAGATAAAGTCCAGACTCCTTAAAGTGAAGTACACGAGACTGCCTACCTGGCCGCTGCTTCCGTCCCCGGCCCATCTCTTTGCTCTCCTCCCCTTGCAGTCCTGCAAACTCAGCCAACTTTAGATCCCCGTGGTCCATAATGCTTCCTCTTCCAGGGTAGGTGCTATATAACCTACCTGCGTAGTTTCACCCAACTAATTCCTACCTTGGCTTCAGGTGTCAGCTTGACAGCCCTTGTAGGGAATGTCTAGGAAGTTTTCCTGACCCTCCCATCTGGGTGGGGTCCATTCTCCGTCCTTCTCATAACACCTGGACTTTTCCCTATCACAGCACTTATCACATTGTATTGTAATTATCTGTTTACTTGTCTGTATCTTCCACTGGCCAGTGAGCCAGGGACCATATTAGTCTTGTTAACCATTGTGTCCCTTGTACCTATCACAATGCTTGGCACATAGCATGAACTAATAAATATTTATTCAGTTGACTCAAATCGTGATGGACAGAATGAACCCTTGGCATGCCTTGTATGCTCTGCTTTCTTCCACTTTCGCATCCTCCCTCACCTCCCAACACACACACAGGTGCACACACACACGCCTGTGTTCCTGTTATGCCCTTTCTTCCTGTGTTCCTGTTATGCCCTTTCTTCCATTCTCCACCTGGACTCCGAGGCCTAATTCAAGACTTCTGTCTTCTGTAATCATGCAGTCTTCCCATCTCTTTGAGTTCTCCTTTCATGCCTACCACTCACCTCCTTGGCCTCAGTACTGCATAAAGAGTCCTTCCCTTTCTTCCTGGGATCATGTTCAGTTGTCTTAGGTTGTGAATGGGTTTGGTGGTCACTTTGTCACTTTGTGGCAACTAAGTTTCTATTTGTATAGAAACTCTTTGAAAACAGGGGCAATATCTTGTATGGCCCAATTGTATCCGAGAGGGAATTGCACATAGTAGGTGGTCAGTTAACATCTGGTGGTAAATTAACTAATTTGCTGTGAGGCTGTGTCCATCCTGTGGGGCCTATCTGATTCTAGCTCCAGGAAAGAACTAGTTGGCAGTAGAGACTATCAAAAGGGAAAGTCTTTATACTGATTTTCATCACCATATAGGAACTCCTGGTGGGGGAAATGCAGGTACCCCTTGTCTCAGTGTGTAATTCATTTGTTAAAACATATGTTAGGATTCTGCTATATGCCAGGATCATTCTAGACCTTGGGAAGAGAGCAGAAAATAAGACAGTTTCTTATGTGACTGATGGGAAAGAATTTTCCTAGCAGGATGCCTTGCATATTGTGCAACCCGACAAATACCTCTTGAGAAAAGGGGTGAAGGGGGTACCATACTCACAGCAGTGAATCTTGAAAATCAAAACCAATACATTTAAAAATCATATTTTTATGATTTTTACAAAAACATCAAAAACTAACTGTTTTTCTTCCCTTGAAGAAGCCTCAACAGTAGAACTAGTTTGAGTTACTCAGTTGAAGTTCTTCCATCTCGGCTTCACCAGACCAGGCATTAAGAGTGTAGGTAGGTCTCTAGCGGGCAGCTAACCTTGCTTCCTTGTCCTCCCGAAAGAACTCCAGCAGCTCCAGAGCAGAGGGCTCAGCTCTGTGAAAGAAAGCGAAGGAGGAGAGAGATGTGGTCCTTACACATACCACATCCATAGGCGCGTCAGATTGAAATGAGCATCTCATCCTGCACCTGGAAGAAAGTGGGGCTCAGGTGCCAGGTGTCATGGGTTGTTCACTCAGCACTCGTAAGCAAGCAAGTTGGTGTGTTTGATCAGCTCATTCTTAAAATACCCTACCGATTTTACAATCATCTGTTTGAAAAGCGAGGAGCCATCTGCTTGGAGGAAACAGGCAGTTCCACGTACTTCCTTGTTGCTTAGTTAGAGGACGAGTGTGGGACCTCGAGGAGGAGGGCCCTCTGGTCAGGACTCACATGGCAGATAGGCCAGCACGCAAGCTAACCTCCATTCTCATTTTTAAGTCGGTTGTGTTCCAAAGGGATTTTTTTAAAAAAAAATCCTAAACGATCTAAAAAAAGTTATTTAAAATCATTTTAATAAAAAAAACAGATTTTGAACATTTTCTAAAGTAAAACTGCTTTTTTTTTTTTTCTTGCTGTATGTAGGATTTCATTGGAAACACAGGGAAGTAGTAAGAACACTGGCAGCTAGATGGTTCTAGCCTCCCTGAGGGTGGCCAGAAGGAGACGGTGCAGCTGGGCAGTTGGGTTGAGGCTCCCTCCAGGGCGCCTGCTTATCCCAGGCACAGGGAAAGACACTCTGTAATTAAGCCCGCCTCCTCCAGTTGTGTGCTCGATGTTAGAATTCTGTTACTCTGCGGACTTTCCTGGATTCGCCTTCCAATGCAGGGGGTGCGGGTTCGATCCCCGGTCGGGGAACTAAGATCCCACATGCCTCGCGGCCAAAAACCAGAACATGAAACAGAAGCAATATGGTAACAGATTCAATAAAGACTTTAAAAATGGTCCACATCACCCCCCCAAAAAATCTGTAAAGAATAAAAAAAAAAAAAGGAATTCTGTCACTCAGAATCCCTGCTGAGTGGTGATTTGATGACATTTCAGCAGGGCCTTCCAGGGACAAGGAGGACGGGGGAGGACCTCCTTAAGGTCGCACTGTAAACAGTGCTTCCTGGGAGTGTGTGCAGTTGGATTCAGTGGCTGCTCTTGGTGATGACAGGACCCATGTTTCATACACCTGGGTGTCTTTGACGTGGGAGGTGCCCTGGAGGTGGTGAGGTGTGCAGGCAGGGTGGCGGCACGTGAGAAGCACCATGTCATGGCCTCTCCGGAGCCGCACCCCTGTCCATCTGGCGGTGTGACTTCCTACCACGGCTGCTTCCAGAGGTGGCTGTGCTCAGGGCCTAAGACAAGGGAGCCTCAAAGGCACGA